CAGCTTCAACGGAAAAAAATGTGAGTTTAGAGCGGCATTTGCACCAGATGATGTTTGGCAGGCCGCGGCATGTTCTGTCGGTCCATCAGTAAGTAGTAGCTGTTTCCTCTTCGTATCCCGAAGATTCGTCTACCTATCCTATCCCTATCTCATCGTTTTCCTGTCCGTTCCTCTTCCTTATTCGGAATTATTCGCAAAACGTGACAACCTCTCACAGCTGAGACTTCGAACTCTGGAGAAGCAACGACTATACGCCAATAATCTCTCGAATATTTGAGCTTTGGACAAAGTCGAATGACTTGTGCCCAGCGACTGGAGCTCCTTTGATACTACATTTTAGCTGCTTGCGTTCAGGATCGAAGCTTTTCAATCACTGACCACGACTCATGGCCATAATGAAAAGTTGGAACAACGGTCGACCTGAACAGAAACAGTTCGTCTTCACATAGAGGAGTTCCGCCGTACATAGTCACAACGGTTCAGAAAACGGTTCATACAGACTTCCGCCAGATATTCCAATCCGTCGGTCGATCTATTACTCCCATTTTCCCTCACCTGTAATCACGATCCCTCAGGTAGTTGAACTTCTACACCTGCTCCACTGCCTCTCTACCTCTCCGTATGTCTGAAAGGAGCAACAGGTAGGGGGGAGCGAGAAAGTACTAGAACTTTGGATGCAGGCAAAATCACATTTGGCTGAAGACCTTTTACAGAGCACTGTAGCTCAGTTTCAGAAGATGCCGATAAAACTGTGGTCGTCTGCAAACAGCAACCTTATCGTCTCCACATCTTCTCCACCGATGCACTCATCACCTCGACTGCACATGACTATTCTATCTATGTACAACACAAACAGGAGAGGGGACAGGACGCAGCCTTGGCCGAGACTAGTACCAGTGTTGAAGGGTTTCGACTTAACATTATTTAGCACAACAGCTGATATCAACATGTAGTGATCGGTCACTCGCTACAGCAACCCATCGTATTCATTTGTCCGCAGACCAGCCCATAGCTTGCTGTGCTGGACGCTGTCACGATCTGTTCCTAAGTTAACAAGCACGTAAATCGGATGAGCGAACTCCGACAGTTTCTCCGGAATTTGACGGAGGGCGAAGATCTAGTCGGAGGTACTTCGGGATGACTTGAAACCGCACTGCTCTTCTTCGATCTTAGAGTCAACCATTCGGTGGTATCTCCTCCCAACCGCTTTACGTATAATTTTCCCATTAATTATATATTTTCCCGTTAATACTCCAATAATTATAGCACCCCATATGGTCTCTCTTCTTGAATAGGGGTACTACCGACCCTATCTTTCAATATAAATCTTTCTCATAGCCACTGCAGTTTAACCGACACTTGCTAGTCACAACATGCCTTTTTCTTTTAAAGCTTTAAGCGTCTCCATGCATCGTCTAAGTTTTTAAGTTTTCACAGGTTCTTTGACGTTTTTTACTGAAAGACTAACATCGGCGACCTGATGATCATCTGATGAGTTACTCTGCGGTCCCGAGTTAAGGAGTTTTTTAAAGTACTCTCTCGATCACGAACGTTTCTGTCCTCGTATTTGGTAATAGAGCGTCCGGACGTCCTTCAGGATTCTTATACAACTATTACTTTAAAGTGAATATTGTTTCTTCGACTTCGAAAGGCTGAAATTCTTTTTCTTTCACAGTGGCTATAAACTGTCTCAAATCTGTTATCATAAATTTGATTAAACGATTTGGAGATTATGGTAGATTTTGATGTTGAACAGAAGATACTCAATCATTCATCGCTTTACTATGAAAGAGAATATGCTGGTCTCTGCCTACTCGTTACAACGTGGAGCACTGGTCATCGACCTGCCTATTAATAGAGCAGATTTCGTCAAGTGATGCTCTAGTTTCGACCAGACCATCAGAACATGGGATATTTTCCTGTCAATTTCCTGATCCCAGCCTTAAAGCATTTTTGGACTGCTCGTTCGTCTAGCTCATTCGTCAGTACCTTCCGTTAGGGGCAGAAGCTGGAATTTGAGTCATTTCTTTCAGCATCATGGCTCGAATGTTCTTCTGTGCTTCCTCTAAAGTCATGACATGATTTGTTGTCAGTGAACATTGCGATCGACGAGTTTGCGCCAAGTACCAATTTACAAACACAGATTTTAGACTTTGGTCATTTACCACCACGGCAACAACAGCAACAACTGGTCGATCTTTCTTTGTAATCAACCGTGATCGTCATTGCTAAATGAAAATGCCTGTGCTTGACTGTCTCATGCAATTTGTCACCAGAGTCTTCCATCTCTATATCACTCTTTAAGATCATCGTTCCATCTGAGCTGAGGTCTTCGTAATGAACGCTTACATCCCTTTGGATACCATACTGTAGCTGCAGGCGAAGTCAATCGGTAATCCATCAGTTGCCCGATGTTTCGTTCGCCGCCTGACTCGAGCTGCTAGCAGGAGACTGGAGAGGGAGGTTGTTTGTGCCTTCCAGTTCATTCGATATTGGATACTGCGCACGATCGCCAGATCTCTTGGGCAAAATGCGCGCGCCCTTTTTTCTTCATTCTTGTAGGGGGGTCACAGGTGACGGCTTCGTGTCCGCTCGATGTTTCCTTAAATGAGTTCAGGAGCAGCACAACTGAGTGGTTCCTCATCTCTGCGACCGAGCAGACTCATTTAACTTTTACAAATTGCTCCCATCAACAAGCCGCGGATCGATATGAGTTTTTGATGTCATGACATTTGTCGCACGGTGATGATTTATGCCAGACGTCTCGAGTCGTTTTCGACCGTGTCGTCGTCTGCCCACAATGGGTTTGCAGACCGGAAGTCGTAAACGCCATACTTTTGAAGAATGCTTTTCTAAAGCCGCTCTGCAGAAGTCATTGATATGAGCAGAGTGCGATGAAATGATTTATATGCAAAAATTCAGCGCCATGTTAAAAGTGACATGACAAATTGCAGTCCTGATTGGCACTTGTTAAACCGAAAGCACTGGGTCTAGCGATCGAAGCGGTTTTCTTCGGTTACTAATGCAAGCGTTGAATTTAAAGAG